ATCAGTACTTCCACTTTTACCAGAGTATTTTTTAACACAAGTATCTGTACTTTTACTCAAGTACGGAAAGTGAGTACTTTTGCCATCTCTGCATAGCATCACTAGCAAGCTGTGGTTGATGCTCTTAAAACAGAAGAGGTAAAATATTTTAATGCAAAATGTAAAAGAAACTACGTTTGAAGAAACTAAAATAGCGACAACAAAGACTGTGAAATGAGTTATAACTGGTGGCAGGTGATTATCAGAGAGCTTTTCGTGAAGTTTCCCAAAGTTATTTCAGATTTGACACGAGTAGAGCGAAATGTAAATCTACGTTATAAAAGAAAAAGCTGCATCTATTCTGCATTGTCCCTCATAATCATCTTAGTTGGCCCAATTTTTTTTTTTTTTTTTTAGATCTGGTCACCTGAGACTTGTCGTAGACATCGTCTGCAATATTTATTAGCAAGATGGTCACTCGATTCAGCACCCATTTTCTGACTTCAATATTAAATGTTTTTTGTTTTTATTGTACAGTCATCTTAATATCACACTGATGCTGTTAAGGAATGATTAGAAACAGCTGATCAGAACTGTTCAGCTTCCAGGTTTATTCAATGCAGCAGAAGAATTATATCAAATGGAGAGATAAATGTGAAATGAGTGTAAATGATAAAACCGTAAGAGCCTACGCTAGTAAAAAATAAGCCCTCACCTCGACCCAGTTCCAGCGTTCTTCAAGGCTTAGCTTTTAAAGAGCCAGTCAGCACAAAGAAAATCAGCTTTACAGAACATTTTTATTTGTATTATTTGGCTTCTATTTTTATTATTATTTTTATTTTTTTCTCCACCAAAGTCTGAAAACTAAACTCTGATTTGCTTTCCTGTTAGGGTCCAAAGGGTGAGTCTATAGTGGGCCCTCCTGGACCTCAAGGACCTCCAGGACCCCCAGGTGTTGGTTATGATGGACGTCCAGGTCCAGCAGGACCACCTGGACCTCCAGGACCGCCAGGGTCTCCCTCATTCTCTGGAACATACAGGCCCAACTATCGTAAGTAGATTTTCCTTTTCAGAGTCAGGTTGTCAAACACCATAGTATCAATAGAAGTTGTATTAAGATCCTATGTTAGTTGGACAAATAGTACTTTTACAACTAATAAAACACAGAGATTCTTTGATTGCAGGGGAATCTACAGTATAATAGGGGCAAATATATTTTTTTAATTCAGTACAAGTTTTTCCTGGTTTTATTTGCTGAAGAAGCAACAAATGTTGTGTGCCAGAATCCAAAGTCCTTTAACAAAAAAAACCCCACAGTGATAAGAGAAAACATCTTGGAAAAAAACACCCTCTATCACAACCATAAAAACAGAGGGTTTGGGAATGTTGCTGCCCATCAATCTAGGAAAGGTTACAAGCCTATTTCCAAACTACCATCTAGTGATGCATCTTCCTGGTCAGACGGGGCTTTGCCTATCTTCAGGGGTTTATGGGTGAAAAGAAGGGTATGCCCAAAAACGGGTCGCCAATCCATTGCAGGACAGAGACATACAACCATGCGCACAAACCCACTCACATGCACACAAGGGCAATTTAGAGACCTCACTAGTATTCATATTTTGAACTATGGGAGGAAGCCGGAGAAACCAAGCATGCCCGGGGAGAACATGCACACACGTTCAGAAAAAATCTAGGCCAGGTGTCAAACCAAGGACCTTCATCCTGCAAGGAAACAGTGCTATAAACTGCATCATCATGCAGCCCTCAAATTCCAAACTATTTAAATTGAATCATTCTTCAGATAGATAATTAATAATTGGGGGATATAACTTCCAATTTTCATAGAAAACATCTCCAGTAGATGACAATAAGAAAAAAAAATAGAAATAAAGAAAATTCAGCAGATTAAAGGTTACATGGCGGCAATATGCAGGTTTGGAAACCTGAATCTGAATGATGAACAAAAACTGAGGAACAATGTGCTCTTGACAGATGAAACTGAAGCACCATGTGTGGAGAAAACAAAATGCAGCATCTGAGCACAGACGCCTCATGCTAGCTATTATGCACAGTATTGGGAGGATTATGATTTGGGCTCGTTTTGAGTCTACAGGGTATGGGCACACTGTGATCTCTAGACTGATCATGAAGTTGTCTGTAATCAAGGGTTCTTGAGTCAAAGAGTAGAAAAGAATGGGCCAAAACATTATATATTAGATGTAATTGCACATCTTAATATGTGCATAAGTTAGGCTTACAGTCTTTAAACTTGGAAATGAACCTGTTGGATGTGATGACTTTTCGACTCTTTGTGTTTTGACCTAAAGCCGTCAGTATCCCTGGACCTCCAGGCCCCCCAGGCCCACCTGGAAGTCCTGGTGTCTCCTCTGGGGTAGGTGCCATCTCTGTTTTCTATCAACCATTTTGTTTCCTTCAGTTAATATGTCATCACTTTTTTCATTAAACGAAATATGGCTTCTATTTTTTTACTTAAAATTTTTTTAACTTAAAATGTATTATATTTTTTTCACAAGGTGATGGTGTTGAGGTCATATGACATCATGATTGCTACAGCCAGGCAGCAGCCTGAGGGAAGTCTCATATACATACTGGACAAAGCAGACCTTTATCTGAGAGTGCGAGATGGGATTCGACAAGTCCTAGTATGTCTACCCTGCATTAACTTTGATTTCTAGCTCAAAGTTTGATGAAAAGAAAGTTCAAAAGATGTTAGCATGCCTCTGTTTTATTATAACATACAAGAGTTTGTTATGAAGTTCTGACCAATGGTTGTTCTCCTCAGCTCGGAGAGTACAGAACCTTCTTTGGAGATCTGGTACGTTTTGAAGAACAAACAAGAATAACTCACTTTGACTTTAACTGACTGGTGTCTGATCACTGAATCTCTTTGCTTTTCATGTAAAGGGCAATGAGGTGGCAGAAGTCCAGCCTCCACCGGTGGTTGTGTACCCCCACACCCCTGAAAGGAACGCCAACAATGGAGCGGGTCGTTATTCCGAGGGCAGTGCAGTCATCCGACCCATTGAGATCCTGCCGCAGCAGCCCAGCCCCCCCGTGGCTGCAGCCGACTCTTCAGAATCAGGAGTGAGTATAGCTGAGAAAACATAGATTAAAGCCTATCACTGTAGGCTAAAGTGAAGAACTGAGCATTAAACCATCAAGGTTCATGATAGGTTTGTACCAGAGACTACAGGACCATCAACAATTATAAACTTCTGCATTAAAATCTAAAAAACTTGGAAACACCTTCATCTTTTATTGCAGCACTTAAAAAAAATTGAAAAATCAAACCTTAGATATTGGTCCATTTCTTCAGTTAATCTCTGTTATGTATTTAAACAAAACCCATAGTGGTGCCACAACCATTGACTTCCCCAGAATAACTTTAAAATAAAAATAATCAAATATTTTTTAAACTTGTTTTTAATTTAATTGTAATCTATGACTTCCTGTTTCCTTTTCATGTAAATATGACAAAATGCGGAGATAATTTCCTATCAGGATTCACTCTTTAAAATAGTAAATAAGTCAGGAAATCAGTCAGAAATTACTATAAGAAAGCAGCTGCTGGGCTGAACCCGCTGTCTATGGTTAGATTAAAGCAACACTGGCTAAATTTTGAGCTGAATTTGAGATATACTGAAATATTTTCTGATCAAAGAGACCAAACGTAGCCTTCAACATGCTATTTATAGACTCACGCTGAGGTGGGCTGCATGTCAATTGCGTGAATTTGTTTTCATTTTATTTTAACATGCGTGGAGCATTAGCGCCACTGGGAGTCAGGAAGGAATGAAACAGAACAAGACGTGTTTGAACCGACTAGAACTGTAACAAAAAAATGTTGGACAAGGCCACAAAATACATGCTTGCTACTTTGGTAAGAAGAATGACAGGAAAGCCCCCTCTGTCCTAGCCTGGGTGCCATTCCAAGCTTAGTCCCGCCCACAA